GCAGCCCGCCAGCACCCCCGCCCCCCCCCGAGTGCCCCGTGCCCCCCACTCCTGACCTGCAGCCCCCCTACTGCCCCCGACCCTGTGCCCCCGAGTGCCCCCCACTCCCAACCCACAGCCCCCTGAGCACCTCATGCCCCCCCGACTGCCTTGTGCCCCCCACTCCCGACCTGCAGCCCCCCCGAGCACCCCGCGCCCCACCACTCCCGACCCGCAGCCCCTCCCCCAATTACCCTGAACCCCCGGAGGTGACCCCGCAGCTGGTCTCTGTTGGGCAGGGTCCAGCTGACGAGGACGCTGGTGCTGTTGAATATTTCCACCCCCACGTTCTCGGGGTTCACCTGGGGCACTGGGGGAGGAACAAACACATGTGTAATGTGGGGGGGGGGGGGCTCAGAGCTTCCCCCCAGTCCCTTCCCACCACGGCCCCCCCTAAGCTGGGGGTCACAGTTCTCCCATTTCCTCCCCCCCATTCCCCAACCCCACCCCGGGGCTCACGGCCCCCTTTCTTTCTGCCCCCTGCTCCTTCACCCTTCCTCCGCCACTCACCATCCTCTCCAGAGTACCCCACCACGGTGGGGGGCTCGGGCCCTTTGCCGACGGGGTTCACGGCCTGCACCTTGATCTCGTAGGGGACAAAGGTGGGGGTCTTCGTTACCAGCAAGGGGGGGCCACTGACTGTCTCCTCGCTCCAGCTCCCCCCCTCGCCCAGACGCCGCCACTGCACCCGGTAACTGAGCTCGGGGGCGTTCCAGTCCGACTTGTTCAGGGGCTGGGGGAGGAAACGGGGATGTCAGTGCATGGGGGGGCAAAGCCCCAGGGCCCCCCCATTCTCCCTCCTGGATACAATGCACCCCAGCCCCCCCCAGGAGCAAGTGACTGTAACTATCCCGTCACACACAGATACAGAGCCTGCAACTACCCCATAACGGGCGCACACACACAGGGCATGAACTACAATGCAACTACCCCGTAACACCCACCATGAACTACAACGCAACCACCCCATAACACCCGCCATGAACTACAACGCAACCACCCCATAACACCTACCCACCCACCATGAACTACAACGCAACTACCCTGTAACACCCACCATGAACTACAACGCAGCTACCCCGTAACAGCCACCCACCCATGATCTACAATGTAACTACCTCGTAACAGCCATCCACCCACCATGAACTACAACGCAACTACCCCATAATACACACACACACACACACACACACACACACACACAGCATGAACTACAAACTACCTTGTAAAATACAGTGTCAGCTACAACATTACTACTCTGTAAAACACACCCCATGTGAGCGACAACACAACTACATTGTCTCTCACACTCACCCCCCCCCAGCATAACCAACACCATGTGAGGAGTAGTGTGAGTGTTTGTAACACACACATGGTGTGACAATCCTGTGACCCCCCCCACCCCGTGGGAGGTACCACACAGCTCCATGGCGTCACTCCCTGGGGGTCGACAACCCCCAGCCAAGAAGAGCCACCGTCGATCGCCGGGTGGACAACTCAACAGCCGGCTCTGTCGACCAACAACCGGCCCCAGGGGAGGCTCCATCAGGCGTCCGTAGGTGGGTGGCCGTCGCCTGGGTCTCCAGTGTCATCGGGGGGCACGAGACCACGGCCGCCTGCCACACCCCGGCGGTAGCCAGCTTCTTCCCTTTGCCGGGGCAGCGCGTCCAGCACCTGACGCCGGCTCGGCGACGTGGGTCCCACCCAGGGGGGCCAGGTTTGTACTGGTTTTGGTGGTGCCCAGAACGGGTCCAAGCAGAGCTGCCCCAGACCCTGCGCTTCGGGGGGCCGTGGGGCCCAGGGCAGCCGGGGAGGTTAGCAGGGGGCCCGGCCCCAGCCTGCCCCACTCTGCCAGCTCCCGGTGCCGCTCAGGCCAGGGGGTAGAAGCCGGAGAGAGGCGGGGCGGGGGCTTGAGGGAGGGGCCAGAATGGGGGTGGGGAGGGAGCGGGAAGAAGTGGGGCAGGGTGGGGCCAGGTCGCTCGCTGAGGCCTGCAGACGGGGGACCCAGCGACTGGTGCCCAGGAGGCCCCCCCAGCTCGGGTGCAGCCGGTTCTGGCCAGTGGGGGAAAGGGGCTGAGGGGCCCGGTTCCAGCCCGGGGGGGGCAGGTGGCCTGTTTACCTGGGGCTGGAAGTGGGGGGCTGGCGGGGACAAGGCATGGCCGGAGCCCCTGGGGACCAGGCCAGGCCAGGCCTGGGGCCTGGGCGGGGGTCAGACGTCCAGTGACTCCCCGACTGACGCTGGCCGAGTCCTTCCGGCTGGAGATCGGGGGGGAGGGGATTTGCTCCCTCTGGGGGTCGGGGCCCCGGAGACCAGAGGAGGGGACGCCCCAAGGGGCCCACGGCAGAGCCAGGCTGCTGGGGGCTCAGGGGGGCCCCAGAGAAAGCCCGGGGCCAGCCAAAGCCGTGGGGCAAGGCCAAGGCCGAAGGGGAGCGTGAGCTGAGGAGGCTGCGGTCAACGTGGGGTGCACCCAGGGCCCTCCACCGGCCAACATGGCAGGGGATACGCGGCGTCTCACCCCCCCCCCCCCCCCCCGCCCCGCCGGGGGCCCCGCGCCGCCCCCCCCCCCCCCCCCCGGCAGGAGCTACAACGCAACTACCACGGCACACACACGCCAAGGGCAGCGACAACCCTGTCACCATGACACGCTGGGCACAACACCCCAGCAACCCTGTAACACAACCTCCCGAAACTACCCCTTGAACCTGGCTACACCGCGAGCCACCAGCACCCGACAACCAGCAGTGTCTCTGCCCCGCAACACCCACCTCCCCCTCCCTGTACCGACCCCCACACAACACAGGACAACACCCCCGCACTGAGACAACAGCCCCCTGCCACGGGGAACACGGGCCCCCCGACAGATGTGGGGGGGGGATCGGGGGGCTGTGGGGGGCCGGACCCCCCCACACGTTACCTTCCAGGTGATGAGCATGTTGTCGGTCTCGTTCCCCTCGCCGGCCACCCCCTCGGGGTAACGCTCGGGGGCTGGAGGGGAAAGGGACAGTGTGAGTGGGGGGGATCCCCCCTCCCCGCCCTGCCCCCGACCCCAACATCCCACCCCCCAACACACCCCCCCCCCCCCTCCCCCCTCCCCTCCCCCGCCCCCCAACACGCCCCTGCCCCAGGGCCCCCTAGGCCGTACCCGCCGGGCTGGTGCGGACGGGGGCTGAGGCGGCGCTGGGCTCGCCGCGCCCGAACCGATTGGCCGCGCGGACTCGGAAGCGGACGTGGCCGTAGGGCGCCAGGTGCAGCCGGGCCCAGGGCTGCTGGCCGGGGACGGTGCTGACGTCCCGCCAGGTGCCGGGGTCCCGGAGCCCGTCCTCCGCCTCCACCACGAACTCTGGGGGGAGATGGGGTGAGAGACGCCCGGCGTCCCCCGGCCCGCCCCCCAGAACGGCCCCCGACGCCCCCCAAACCACCTGCCCCGGAACCCCCCCGGACCCTCCTCCGACGCCCCCCAAACCGCCTGCCCCCCCGAGTCCTCCTGGACGCTCCTCCGACGCCCCCCAAACCGCCTGCCCCCCGAGTCCCCCCAGAACTGCCCGCCCCCCAGCGCTGCCTGGCCTGGGGAAGGGGGTGTCCCGAGCTGCAGCAAAGGCAATGGGGCTGGGGGGGAGGGGGAGACGCCCCGGGATCTGGGGGGCCGGGGGGGTCCCCTTCTTACTGTCAATGGGGCTGTTGTGATCGTCCCCCGGGGTCCAGCTCAGCTTCACGCGGCGCTCCTGCTGCTCCGACACCTGCAGCTCCAGCACCGGCCCGGGGCGGCCTGGGGGCAGAGACGGGTCAGCACCGGCCCAGGCAGCCCCCCCCGCGCCCCCCGCCCGGGGACGTACCCACCACCCGCAGCTCGGCGCTCTCCTCCGCCGAGTCCAGCGCCGTGTGCGCCCGGCAGCTGTACACGCCCTGGTCCGTGTAGTCCACGTCGGCGATCTGCAGCCAGCCGGGCGTGATGGTGTACCTGAGGAGAGGGGGCGGGTGGGCCTGGCGCTGCGAGCTTCCCCAGCAGTGCCCCAGCCAGGGTCCCCCGCAGCGCTGTGAGCTTCCCCCAGCAGTGCCCCTGCCGGGGTCCCCCCCAGCGCTGTGAGCTTCCCCCAGCAGTGCCCCAGCTGGGGTCCCCCCCAGCGCTGCGAGCTTCCCCCAGCAGTGCCCTGCTCCCCCCTCACTTGTCGCTGTCGTCCGACTCCCGGATGGGGCGCCCGTCCCGCCGCCACTCGACCCCGCGCTCCGGCAGCGTCTCGTCGAACCGCGCCCGGCACTGGAAGGTCACGTTGCTGGATTTCTTCACCATGGCGCTTTGGGGTCCCAGCTCGATCCGCGTCGCGCCTGGGACAGGACGGGGGGTGACGGGGGGTGACGGGGGGCAGCGCCCGGGCTGCCTCCGTTCCCAGCATGCCCTGCTGTGCCCCCTGGCCCCTCCCTTTCCAGCCCGCTCCCCCCTCAGCCCCTCCCTTCCCAGCATGCCCTGCTG